TCCATCTTGCAAGTTTTAAAATCAGTTTGCTTTTTGTATAAAAAATCGATCAATAGTTTTTCAAAAGATAACAATCTATTTTCGTAACCCTAAAATCGATTGATCTATTATTAAAGGAGATCGATTGATTTTTATAAATTTTGAATTAAAGACTATGTTTATACTTTTAAAAATATAACTTTTGTAAATTTTTTTTTCCAATCAAAGACTAGGTTTTTACTTACAAAAATTTAGTATTTGTATTTTTTTTTCAATAAAAGTCTATGTTTCTACTTTTAAAACTATAGTCTTCGTAAATTTTTTTTTCAATCAAAGACTACATATCAACTTTCACAAACATAGTATTTGTGAAAGTTTTTTTCAATGATTATGTTTTTATTTTAAAAAACAATCCTTGTAAGTTTTTTCAATCAAAGATTACGTTTCTATTTTTAAAAATGTATTCTTTGTAAAACTTTTTTCAATAAAATTGTTTATCACTAAGTTTCTACTTCTATAAACGTAGTGATAGACAATTTTTTTAATCAAATACTACATTTTTATTTTCATAAACGTAGTGATTGTAAATTTTTTTTCAATTAGACACTACGTTCAAACTATGTAAAAACAGAAACAGAAGTGCAAAAAACATAAAACTAACTTCCCATATAAACTTTGTTTTTCTCATTTAACCCTTTAATAAATTTTTTACTACATGAATGACTTGTCATAACATTAACGGACAACTCATAACAACCACCTCAATCCAACATTTTTATCCCCAAAAATAACCTTCAACTCTTTTTTAAGACAGACAATATCTGTCCCTAAACAAATGTTTCAAAAGTTACCGGATAGCTTTTTCCATTTAACCCTTTAACAAATTTTTTATCACATGAATGAGTTATCATAAGACTAATCGACAACTCACAAACACCACTCCAATCTAACATTTTTGTCGCCAAAAATAACCTTTAACTCTTGTTAAACACAAATAATATTTATAAATAAATACAACAATTTCATACTTTATATCCTCAAATCTAACTCTGAATTTTTTAAAAATATATTGAATAGTAATCCCTAAATTAGTGCTTCAAAGACTATGAGAACAGCTTTAAGTGTTAGTATAGATAAGAAAATTTTTAAATTTCCTCATATCCATTTTATTATTTATTAAAACATATCCTTAATTTGCAAATTTCAACACGTATAAATAACTACTTAAGAAAATAAATAATAAAAAAATAAATCAAATAAAAATAAAATTATAAATACAAAACACAAAAAAAAAAACCAACATGGCTCGGATGTGCAAATTTTAAATCAAATTCGGGTTGAAGCGTGGGTCAAAAAAATTTACCTTTTTTTTTATCAAAATAATGTCATTCATGGTTTATTATAAAATCCATTATTCAAGCTTTTTCTTGTATTTTTCCTTCTCTTTCTAACATTCATGCTTTCCTTCTCTCTCTAAAAGGTTTCAACCAAACTCTCATCTAACTCCTAAAAGTTAGCCACATTGAACCGTCATCACTACCCAATGCCACTTTTGCCGTTGTTCAAGGCTAGCAAAAACTCTTTCATTTATTTTTCTTTCTACCCAAAAAACCTAAAAAATCCTAACCGAAAAACCTAAAAGCAAATTCTTAAAATTATTGAACCCAAAAATCTTATATATATATATATATAAAAAAAAACTTCAAGCCTTTCAAAACATTTTTTTTTTTTGTATTTTGTTATTGACTTTTCTATTGATTGTGTTAATGTTCTTTGTATTATGCTTGATCAGTAAATGAATTGTGTTTTGTCAATTGCTTCTTGATAATTCTATTTTTTATAGAATTATCAAGGCATTTACTTGATTAATTATATGACTTAACTAATTTTGCTTGATTCTTCGCAAATTAACTTAATTTCTACCTAATTTTGTTTAATTATCTCATATTGTAGGCAAAATTAGAAAATAGAAAGATAAAGTGGATTGAAGAAGCTTAGATGTGGATTTGATTTGGATGAATAACATGATGAAGGAAGCTAAGGTCTAAAGGCATTATTTCGAACCTAAGGAAGTAGCATGTTGCATCCCTTGCTAAACTTCTTAAGCTAATGATTAGAATCATATCTCTAAAGGCATGGACTGCATATAAGCATGTAAGAAATAATAAAAGAGTTGTTGCCCAAGCTTTGGCTTTCAAGTAAGCTGTATTAGGAATAAAGGCTAGTTGTCAAGCCATGAAAAGAGCCAAGCCAATTTCACTTAAAGAATAAAGAAAGAATTGAACTATTGCTGCCAAGATGAATTATTTTAGCTAAATAAGGAAAAAGCTAGCCACCAAGCCATGAAAAAAGGAGGAAAAGAGCCAAGCCATTGTACAATAAGACAAATTAGGACCACTACACAAAAGGACAAAGACAGTTGCCGCTTGCATAGGCTGTCAGTCTTTGGATCACTTGAAATTCCCTTTATTTTGGCACACAGAAAGGTGGCTAACTGGGCATTTTATTGCATGAGGATTGGCTAAACTTGGAGACCTATGAATCATCACTTGTTCAGCATTTTAAAGAATGAAAACCAACCAACAAACAGCCCTTGCTCATCATAAATTTCACTTTAGGTTTTCATAAAAAAAAAAATTTCTCATTTTAAAAGTATTTAGGATGAACTCATTATTTGCTTGAAGAGACTTTATCGATTCATTAAATATCTTATCAAATTCCAATTCCAATTCCAATTCTTTTTATTTGTTTACAAAATATTATCATACAAAAATTTTATAAAAAATATCATAGAAAATATCATAATAAAAATCAAACAAAAATATCATAATAAAATCATGCAATAATATCATAAATCAAGCAAAAATATCAAAATAAAATCATGCAAAATAATAATAATAATAATATCATGCAATAATACCATTAATCATGCAAAAATAAATAATTCATACAAATAAAATCCATATATAGTATCATGCAAAAATATAGTAATAAATAATGAAAATAAAATCCATGCAAAATATCATGCAAATATATATTATAATTATTCATGAAAAAAATATTATATAAATATCATGCAAATAAAATATCATAAAAATCATGAAAAACATGCAAACAAAACTATAAAAATCTTACCAAAGTTTTTTTTCCTTTTTTCTTTTCGTCCTCATTTTAACTCAATCACAATTAATTAAAAAAACTAAAGTAGAAAAAAAATCAAAAAGAAATTAAAAAAGTAAAAAATAAGAAATAAAAAATAAAATTAGAAAACAAAAAGAAAAAGGAAAACTTGTAACAGGTTTGGGTCAAGAAGTATGTCAAACAGGTTTAGACGTGGGTTGAGCCTCATCCAAATTACATTGTTTGCTCCCAATATTTAAGTAATACAAAAAAATAAAAAAATCAAAGCCTTCATAATTTCCTTTTCCTTTCTCTCTTTAGCCCAAAAACTTCTCCCTCGAAACTCAATACTTTTATGTTGCTTGATGATTATAATTGTCTCAATTGCCTCTTGATTCTTTGATTGTTAGTGATTTTTAATTGAAAATTGGATTCTTTATATAGGGATTGAATCCCTTTTCAATTTGAAAAATTTTAGTGTCAACTAAATCTATTAAGATCCTACCAAAATTTCTTTTCCTTCTTGTAGAAACTTGATTTCCAAAAATTGCCAAAATCAAATTCAAATTTTAAGTTTTAAATCTAATTAAAATCACAATTTTTAAAAAAATCAAAAAATATATATTTTTTACCAAATAACAAAACATAAATAAAAATAAAAATACTTTTGGATCTTTAAATTTGGGTTTAAAAAATAGCTTTTAAAGTTTAATATCAAAATGAAATTTGGGATCCAATAATATAATTAAAACAGTAGACAAAATTAGGTATCTACGGGTACATATACTTATATCTAGATTTATATATCCTCTTATAATTATAATATACATATCCAAAAAGCACTATGTACATATCTTATAAGTAATATGTACACATCCTATAAGCACAATATATATATTACAAATTAGTTCATACACCTTATAAGTATCAATACCTAGCTTTTTCTACATAAAATTTTATTCATCAAATTTGTTAAGAACAACCTCAAAATCAAAGAATCAAGTAGAAAATGCAAATGTCACAACCTAAGTTAATAAAATTGTTTCAATTAAGACATCAAAACAAAAAGCAAAGTAAATCCAAATTTGATATAAAGCAAAGCAAACCCAAATATCTAATATATCCACAAGCTGTAAAAGCACTCATGCTATCTATGAGAAAGTTGTCCTACATGTCTACATGATATCTTTTTTTTCCCTTTCTAATTTCTTAAGGTGATGAAAATGCACTCAATACCTCATGAATCAAAACTCAACATTAAATCGTGATGGCCTTGTATGTACCAATCACAATATGCACCAATCACAAAACTTAACTGCTAAGCTTAATTCAAAATTTATTCAATACCAGTTTCCAAATTTCAATAAAGTAATATAAGCCAATGAACTCTAAATAGCAACCAATTAAAATGAAAAAGAAAAAAAATATGAAAATGAAATTGAAGTGATAAAAGAAAACAAAAAAGGTCAAGCAAGAGATACTTAACTTAATGAGCTTATTTAATCAATTTGGTAGAAAACGATCATTATTGGGGTGGGGAAGGAGGGGATTTCCACTTAGTGACTTAAGGTTAATGAGTCAAGGTTGTATACACAAAGGGTGGTTGCTAAAAAAAAAATGGAGATTTTTATAGAAAGGGCTTTGAATGCCCGATTTTGGTCGAGAAGAAGGAAGGTGAAATAAAGATGGAAATATGTGACACAGAAAATTAATGATAGCATGGAATTGAGAGAGGAGGAATTGGAGGAAAGAAAAGGAGTAATGCGCCACATAGAGGGAAAAAAAAACCTTTTCTCTTTGTTTAATATGGGTAATATTGTAATTTTAATTTCTTTATATTAATTTTAAATTTTATTTATCTTTTAAAGTAATTATTTTTTTCAAAGAAATGGATAATTTTATATTATACCCCTTTTTCTAATTCCCCCAATTAAAAATTTGCCAAAATCTGGTCTAGGAATAAAACTACTAGTCTGGCCGTCTGTATTGAATGGACCTAACAATTTCCAGTTTTCTACCGACTAACTATTGCTTTTCTTTAACCAAGTAAGTAACTGTTGTTTTCTTTCCATGCGGAAGAGCTGCTTGAGGGAATGCTTCAGCCAGAAATAGAATCCAAACCTTGGATTAGTATGCTCAATGACTGCACCAGACATGGTAGGCATTATGAAGCCTTGTCCCTTTTCATTCAGAAGGTACGGTGTTCATCAAGTTTTGGACTTGATCACCAAGTTCTTGCAGCCATTCTCAAATCCTGCGCTGCCCTTCGGACCACCGCTTTGGGAAGGGCTCTTCACAGTTGTGCAGTGAAACTGGGTCATTTCTCTTGCCACTTCGTGTCTAAAGCACTGCTCAACATGTATTCTAAATCTGGAGCTGTCGGTGATTGTCAGAAACTATTCGGACAAATGAGCACTTCTGATCCTGTTGTTTGGAACATTGTCTTATCTGGGTTGTCTGGTTATGGGGACTATAATGATCGAGTTCTTGGTTATTTTAATTCGATGCGTGTTTCCAATGAAGCAAAGCCTAATTCTGTCACAGTTGCTATTGCTCTTCCTGTGTATGCTCGGTTAGGAGATATAGATGGAGGGAAGATTGTGCACTCCTACGTGATTAAGTCTGGATTGGAGGCACATACTCTTGTTGGGAATGCACTAATATCAATGTATGCAAAATGTGGACTAGTAAAACAAGATGCACATGCTGCTTTTTGTAGCATTGCTTACAAAGACGTTGTCTCGTGGAATGCAATCATTGCTGGTTTTTCTGAGAATAATTTCATGGATGATGCATTTAGATTGTTCAGGGAGATGCTGAAAGGATCAATAGCACCAAATGATTCAACCATTGTGAATATCTTGCCTGTTTGTGCTTCTTTCACTAAGAATGCTGCCTGCTACTTGGGAAAGGAAATTCATTGTTTTCTGTTGAGAAGGACTGAGATGGGAGCAGATGTTTCTGTCTGCAATGCCTTGGTGAGCTTCTATTTGAGAGCTGGGCGTATGGATAAAGCTGAATTAGTTTTCAAAAAGATGGAATCAAGAGATTTGGTTTCCTGGAATGCTATTATTGCCGGATATGTGGCAAATGGTTATTGGTTGAGAGCTTTGGATTTGTTTCAAGAATTGGTCTCTGCAAAAATGTTTGGGCCAAATTCTGTTACTATTGTTAGCATTCTTTCTGCTTGTGCACACTTAAAAGACTTCCAGGTTGGCAAAGCGATCCATGGGTATATTCTTCGGAATTCTTGCTTATATGCAGATACATCGGTGGCAAATGCCCTTGTTAGTTTCTATGTAAAGTGCAATGACCCCGCAGCTGCGTATCAGACATTTTTTATGATTCCTTGGAGAGACTTGGTATCATGGAATTCAATTCTTGATGCCTTGGCAGAGTGTCAATATGATGCTCAGTTTCAGGAACATTTAAGCTGCATGTTTGGGGAAGGATTTAGGCCTGATTTCATCACTGTCTTAGCCATAATACGGTTTTGTGTCTGTTTTTCAAGTCTAGTAAAGGTTAAAGAAACTCATAGCTATTGCCTCAAGGCTGGTATGTTACTAGATGATAGTGAACCTGCTGTTATAAATGCGATAATTGATGCCTATGCCAAATGTGGTAAAATGGAATATGCTACCAGGATTTTTCAGAGTTTATCAGTGAGGAAGAATTTGGTTACTTTCAATTCAATGATCTCAGGTTATGTGAATTCTGGATCATATGATGAAGCATTTATGATATTTAATGGGATGTCTGTGAGAGATCTCACCTCTTGGAATTTGATGGTTCAAGCATGTGCTGAAAATGATTGTCCTGGTCAGGCTTTCAACCTTTTCCATGAATTACAAGCTCAAGGGATGAAGCCTGATGCAGTAACTATTATGAGCATCCTTCCAGTATGTGCTCAAATGGCCTCTGTTTACTTCTTGAAACAGTGCCATGGTTATGCGATAAGAGCTTGTTTGCAAGATGTTCGTTTGAATGGAGCTCTTTTAGATTTATATGCAAAATGTGGCAGCATATGGAGTGCTCATAAGCTTTTCCAGTTAACTCCTGTTAAGGATCTGGTTATGTTCACCTCAATGATAGGTGGGTATGCCATGCATGGTATGGGTGAGGAAGCACTCTGTCTTTTCTCTTATATGCTTGAGTTGGGGCTGAAGCCTGATCATGTTATCATTACTGCCATTTTATCTGCTTGCAGTCATGCTGGCCTGGTAGATGAAGGGTTGGAAATATTTTATTCACTAGGGACCGCTCATGGGATGATACCAACCATTGAACAATATGCTTGCCTTGTGGATCTCCTTGCTCGAGGAGGTCGAATCAGTGATGCATATTCTTTGGTTGCTGGTATGTCTATTGAAGCTAATGCTAATGTGTGGGGTACATTGCTGGGTGCCTGTAGAACTCACCACGAGGTGGAATTGGGTCGTGTTGTGGCAGACCACCTCTTTCAAGTTGAAGCTAATAATATTGGGAACTATGTGGTAATGTCAAACCTATATGCGGCGGATGCCAGATGGGATAGTGTTATGGAGGTGAGAAAACTGATGAAAGCAAGAGATTTGAAAAAACCTGCGGGATGCAGCTGGATTGAGGTAGAGAAGAAAAATAGCGTCTTCATAGCTGGAGACTGTTTTCATCCTAAGAGGAAAATTATTTATAGCACATTAAGTACCTTGGATCAACATATCAAAGAGCCATTTCTGTTTGATAAGATCAATATGGCCACTTACAGCATTTAGTAGCTTTATAAAAGAAGGAAAATGCCACTAAAATGCCAATAACCTTTGTTTTGTTGATCATAATCTTGACTGGCTGAATTCTTTTCCTGTTTTTTGGCGGCAAGGCATTCTACTTAAGTGGGATCAAATCCACTGGAACCTCAAGTGAATCTAGGCTTTTTGATTGGAGTTGATGTTCCTCAACTTTAACAGATATACTGGATAGAAGTAGACAAGATTTCGGTAAGTGTCTGAATTTATTTTCTGCTTCTGCAGTGATTTAGTGAACTTGAAACAAATCATTGGAATTTCTATATACAACTGTTGAACTATTCCTGTTTTTCACTTTTAAGGTAATTCTCCAATGACAAAGACCAAAGAATATTTAGACTACTTATTTATTTTTGCCTTTTGGAGTTGAATGAGCCCATAAGCTGTTCGCAGGATCTTCTAAAGGAGATAGGGTCATCTTTGTTGGTTCTGCAGAGTAGTAAGTTGAGTGCTTCAAGTTTAGATATTGTTTTGATGTTCAATAGCTGAGAATTCTGTGTATCCTTTCTACATAAGTTTGATACATATAAAAGTTAAAATTTCTAGCAACGTGCAGCATGCTAAAGTGGTTTTGCTCACTTGTTTGCAACTTCAGAAATATCAGGTTCATCATACACTTTCTATTTTCTTCTCCTCATTTCACCTACATATGTGAAGTATTTTTTTGCCTGCAATACGACCTGCATGACCTTAGAATTTTCTATTTTTTTTGGTTTTCTCCCCTAGATAAACAAGCATATTATGCATCCTGTAGGTGAAGTAGTATGAAATTCGGTTAGTGTTAACTGAGTGTTCTTTTAGGCTTTCATTGATACTAAAGCTGCAAATGACCTGGCCCAAGAAAACAAGAATAATGTTATGGTTTCTGCTCAGTTTGGTAAGGGGAGCATAGCTTTGAACTCCAGTCAAGCGGAATTCAAGTTTAACTTGATGAAAATATTTAAAATGAGTTGAGTTAGCAAGAATTTTATATAAAGTCAAGATTAAATTCTAAGAAAATCAGAATTACGGTCTTCATCTGATGCTGAGCTGTTAGTAAGCTATCATGCTAGTATAGTTGCCATCAAATCCTATTTTATGTTTCTTAAAGATAGGAATCTGTTGCATTATTTATTTTTTATTTTCTTTAAGTTTAAATGTTAACTTTATTAAGGTAGTATAGATACTAGCAAGTCCTATTTTATGTTCTTCAAGGTAAGAAGATTTTTGCACTATTATATTTTTAATTTATCTCTTGAGGTCAAAATGACCCGGTTGTTCTGGTAATTCCAGATTTGCTAGGAGTTTCAACGTTGAATCTAATGGACTCACTTTTGCTTTTAGTTTTAGTTAGGGAATAGTTTTAAGTTGATTTGATTGATAGTTTTGCGAGATGGATCTTTAGTGGTTGTCAGAATAAGCTTACTATAAGTCTATAAATAATTATGCAACTTCTTTCATCTAATAAGTTATCTGTTATGACAACTTTAGTTGCTTTTTATTCTTTGCTATGCTTTCTTTGGGATTGCTTGAAGCTACTCTAACACTATGTATTAGGGTGAGGGGAGTGAAAGAAAAGGAAAGGATGTGAAACGTGGAAACCTTTTCCTTTTTTGTGTAACATTTAAAATAAATAAAGGGGGAGGGTTAAGCACCCCATTTTTCAATTACCCCAAATTGGGGGAAATGGAGGAGAAACGAAAGGACTAAAATTTTTTAATTATGAAATGACTTTTATACCTTTTTTTTTCAATTTTCAAAGATCATTATAATCCTTTCCCTCTTTAGCTCATTCATCATTTTTTTTTTTTTGTTTTTCTTTAATTTGTGCTTGGGTCTGAAATTTTTTGTCATTTAGAAACCCTTCCTTTCCTTTCTTTTCTTTTCTTTTACTAAATTTAATCCAAACATAACTTAAGCCTAAACCTTAGGTGTGAAGCCCATATCTCTGCTTCACCAATATCTTCTTTAACTCTACTTCTGTCAGATTAAGAACCAGCTTTAAATAATTGGCTATAAACGCTAAATAGTTATTCTCCAAACTCTGTCCAATCTCATGTAGCCATTAAACTTCAACCCTAAGCCTAATTTACTGTTTATAAAACTGTTTCACATCAATGTTATTGGTACTGTACTAGAACCATTGTTATCGGCTGGCAAATTCCAATTTTCCCTGAAACTGGTGCATAAATCTCCAAATTCCATTGCAGTTGAAATATTGGGCTATGCTACCCTGTAGCAGTTGTACCGGGACATTGAAGTTGAAAACTCCTGTTTGGACCAGTACAAAAAATACCTTTTTTCATATTTTAAATGGTAATGTCATTTTTTTTTTGGTCAATTAATTGTACACAAATATGAAATCTCAACCATTCACGGGTTTGGCCTCCATATAAAATTTAGGTAGACCCACAAAATTCATGGTTGGGACATGGGATTGAATAATTGTATACTTGTAGGAAGAAAGAACTGTAGTTTGTATGAACCCCTCAAAAATGACAATTGAATGCATAAAAATGTGAAAGTAATTCAACAAGTCAAGTGACACAAACTCGGATAATACATAAAAACCAAATTATAAAATAAACAACATATATTAATAAGACCATAATAGTAATTTAGCTTCTTTTTTTTTTTTCAAACAGGAGTTATAGTCATTTGTTTAACCCACTTCTCCCAACTTTTTCTCCATTCTAAAAAATGTATGTGCAGTTATTTGACTTTCTTCTCTTTTCTATACTTAAAATGACTAATTTTTATTCATTTTGATAATTTTATAATATTTAGTTATTTATTTATTTCGCCCACATAGCAGGTGTGCATAGGACTAGTAATTAATTATGCAAAAAGCATGATCTTGTTCCACACTATCAATATTCAATTTTTTCCATCATAAATCAACTAAAAAAGCTTATTACATTTCTCATCCAGTTAAGCTCTAATCACTAGTTCTTGTTAATCATACAAACAGTTTTTCTTAAATTTATTGTAAACCTTGCTGTTCGTAACACATGATAATTTTTGAACTCAAGGGTCATGTGTCTAGTCAATGCGTTAAATGCTAGAAGTTCAAGGGTTTGAGTGTTCTTTTTTATGCTTCTTTAAGTTTGGCTGTTTCTTTTTCTCCCCTTCATTTCCTCTTCTCATGTATGCTTATAACTTATTTAGTTTGCATTTCATTTGTTCTCTAATGATTTATGATTATTAAAAGGTGTTTCCCTCTACATATTCATCATTTCATTTTCTTCTACAATCTCTGATTGGACTCCTATAAGAACTGGGACTGGCTCTTAAACATTGAAATAATGCCACAATAGATGATGGAAGGGGTTTATTTGTAAAACTTTCCTAATTGCTACAGGATGTTTTATGCATGAGTTAAAATTCAAGTCTTTTAATGGATTCGATATCAAGTTTGTGTTATTTGATGTACTGTTTTCCATTTGTTACCCCTTAGCATTCAGTTCTGTTTGCTTCTTTTGTTAAATATCTACCTTCTTTCCAAACTCAAGTAGTGAGCACGTAACTGCCTCTTAAGAGTCGATAGAAATGAGTGGCGCAAGAAGATTCAAACTACAACCTATCTTGATTTTCTTATTTGGTTTTTCTTACAATCAACCCCAGAGTATGGGATATAAGGCTTAGTGTGTTATTGTTGTTGTGTGTTTGCAATGGTTTGCTGCTTAAGGAATTTTGTTTAAAATCAAAGCAAACAATTGTAAATTTCCTGATATGGTAGGTTTTTGTTGACTCCTGTATTTATTTTCTCTTGTAGATGTAAGTTTTGCTTTCAACTCTCAAAGATCAAGTAGAGATCAGTTTCAACCATTTTTTTATTTACTCATGGTTCCTGAAATTGTATGAGCATCTGAGCTGTGAGCCATTAAAGTTTTGTGTAGAAGTTACTATCATTCCTGTCAGCAAGCATTAGTTATTCAGTCATTGAGCTTAGAATCATTAGTTGATTTTGTAGAATAAATCTATAGATATTTTTTCTATGTGACTTTACCATAGGTTGATCGTTCCCACAGTTCATGGGAATTATGAAATGCTTTACCATGGGGGTAGTAAAGTTATTTTCACAAGCTCTGGTAAAGTAAACCAAAACGAAGTGACAAAATAACCCCTCAGGCATTCCATCACTTATCCTAAAAATTGACCCTTTTTCATTAACAAAAGAAAGAATTCTAGCTCTTGTATTCTCTCCCTGTTTCTCTTACTGTTGTAGATCAAGCTACCAGTGAATACGCCAAAAATGACATTCCGAGAGACCAGGTTGTAAGTCATCAAACACCTTCCTATTTCGCTTGAAAATTGAAGATTCTATGGTAAACTCTCTCTCTCTCTCTCTCTCTCTCTCTCTCTCTCTCTCTCTTCATTGTTTCTCATATGCATCTAGCCATATGTTTGGTCTGAATTTCATTTCATTGTTGTTGCACTAACATACCCAAATATTTATGTGTAATTTATGTCACTAATGTCACTGGTTTTTTATGAATTCATTTTGTTTTTTGCTTAAGTTTTTGCCATTTTATTTGTTGTTCCCATTACTTGATTCACTAATAAGCATCATGTGCTTTCCGGTTTTCTTTCATTGGTTGCTTAATTAGAGTTAAGTTTTGAAAGCATTCTAGGCTAATTCAAAATGATTTATTTCTTTTTCTACTACATTATTAGCTGATAAGCTTCATTTGCTTTAAATTTCTTTGGTTGCTTACTTTATTGTGTTAATCGCTAAATGGATGCTTGAACTATTTTGATAACTATATTGCATTGTGTCCTTTTATTTTTATTTTTCCCTTCCATTAAATTTTATTGAGTTAAATAGTTAGTTCAATTGGGGTAGCTAGGGTTAGTTAATTTCCTTCTTTCTAGTATTATTTGAAATTGTGAATTGTAAATGCCGTTGGGGTCACAAAAAGAATGACCTCTTTGCCAAGTCTTATTTGCAACAGTTGGAGATTGGGAATTGTTTGCAAATGCTTTCATGTCTTTGTGAAACAATCTTATTAGCAAAGGATAGTTGTTTACAGTTAGAAACACAATGGACTGTTGATTGTAAACAAATTACTTTCTCCCATGAGCTGATTTTTTTCATATATTGTGGGTTTGTTTTTTCCCTAGTCTTGCAGACTTAAGATTTTCTAATTCTTAAAGGTGTTTTGATGCAATGTTGAACATATTCTTTGCTTCTCCTAGTGCTAATTAGGTACCTGGTTGTCATATTGTGTCAAAGGTCAAAGTACTGAAGCGAGGCTACCACCTCATGGACCATTGGGGTATCCTGCCTTTGCTTGGGATGACAATACTCATTAGTTGGTGGCAAGTGAAATTTTTTTGGGTTGATTAATTATAGGTGCATATTTTTTATTTATTATTGGTATCATTTTGGCTGTTTTAATTTAACTAATTTGATAACCAATACTGCTTTATATCAATAAGGACAATCTTGGGTATGGTTTAGGAGGTCTAAACATTTCTCCCGCTGTGCAAAGGTTGATTCTATCTTTTAATAATTCCACTAACTACAGTGGGAAAATGCAAACAACGATATTGCAGTTGAGAATGATAGAGTGGCTGGATTGGATGATCAAGTGGTTATTTAATTAAATTATGGAGTTGAGATACTTGAATTTGCAATGGTCAACAGGAAAAGAGCTTTAATTCTAATTATGTTGTTTAATAAATTTGAAGGATATCTATGGACTAGGTTTAAGTAATACCATATTTTAAATTTACTAGCTATGTATATGTTGAAGCAGTTTTTAGTTTGATAGTAAGTTTAAAATTACCTTTGGTTTTAATGTTGAATGTTTGCTTATTTGTGTGTGATTGGCATTCTAGAGGATCATAGCTACTTTTAAGGCCAACAATTCAAATGACTATAACTATTTTGGAATGTGATAAATGTTCTTGTATTCATTTTTTTGGTGATCTAAATTGTTTAATGCTCTTTGGGTTTTTGACTTCAAGAATAAATTTGTTCAGTATAACTGGTAATTTTTGGGTTTGTTTTATAGTGATTCTAAGATGCATTTACTTTAGTATTATTAGTTTAAAGGAGATTTATTGTAGCTTTACATTTTGTACTTTAGAATTTATATAAATCATAGCCAACTAAAAGGCTTTTGAATGTTCATATGACTCGATAACTTCTCATTAGCAAAAAATATAGGTGAATATTTTAGTTGGGTTTGAAATGCTTTTACATTGTTAAGAGCATTTTGGATTAGTTAGATTTCTAGTAACATTGGCTACAAATATATATTGATCTTTGCAAACATACCAAACAAATCAATGTTACGTATCCAATAATTTAATTGCAACAATTACATGCGTAGAATCACATTCTGTTGAATTATATTTCTTTTATTCGTCTTGCCATAAATTGATACACATCTTACCTTCTTCTACTCCTAAGGTTGAATGCGATTTTGTCATCGGACAGTTTAAGCCATTCCACCTAATCTTGAATGATGAAGGTTCATGGTAGTGTGGCTGCCATTCCGGTGTGGCACCTAATTTGATGTTGTTATATCATGGTACCCCTCAATGACTTAAAACAACAATAATAGTGTTCTTGACACAGTGCAGTCGACCTGTGCTAGCTGGTTCAGGTAAGTCAATTATTTGCATTTTGCCATTACGATAATATCACTCAAGGTTATATTTAGGTTCCAAGTTTACTTTTTTATTCCCTTTTTTTTTTTTCTTTTTCTTTTTTTCTGTTTTGGTTATTTGTATCATTTCCCTTTTTCCTTTTAGGTCTCTGGTGAACTATTTCAATTGTTTATTCAATTTTTAATCAAAATTTTTTTAAATGATAGTAATTCTCGCTCTTGCTTAAAAGTCTTATATACTATGGGCTACTGTTGAATTATTGGCAAATTGGAGAGGTGCCTAAATAAAAAGTGGGAGTAATATGGCTTCTATTTTTATTGTTCATTTTTATGCTTCTCTTTTATGATTTTTTTTTTTTTTTGGGTGCTTGGGTTGTGATTAAGTGTTTTTTTTTTCTTTTTTTGGTCCATAGATAAATATATATATATATATATATTCTCTCTCTTAAACTAAGGTTTGGCTCTTAAATGTTGAGGAGATGCTTTATTTTTGGTAGTGTAGTTGTATTTTTTTATGTTTATCAAAATTTAGCTCAGTTTGTAAAATAATTTATGGCACGCTTACTGTTATAAGTACAATAGGAGATAATCTTTGTTCTACTAACGATTCAAAATAGACATTGCAAACTTAAGCTGCGGTGATATGGTGTTTCTTTACTAAACGAGATTTATGTACTCCGGTTGCCACAAGATTGGGGGGGGTCATGGATTGTTTGGAATGAGTTTATGAAGAGGGCAGCAGATATATGTATATAAAGAATGAGTTCACAAAATCTTTTATTAAAATTATTAAAAGAAAAACTAAAATTGAATACCAAAACAGATGGTTTACAAAAGCTTTAATTATCCATTTCACCTCCTCTAGCATTTAACAAAATGTCTAATATAATGCTTAGCACTAAAAATATGTTCAATATGTTTTCAAACTTTCATGTCGTATACCAAAGTAAAAATACTGTGGAGTGGCATCCATCCAATCAAAATGTGCCATTTAGCTAAAAAAAAAAATGCTACGTCACTCCCTGGGTGTAAGTGCGCAATGGACACATTGAGATGACATATCAGAAATGTGGCCTAACCTCATTTGTTAAAATATTATAAATTTTTTACTTTTGAAAAAAAAAAAAAAAAGAAAATTCTTTTCCTTTTTTTCTTCTCTATCCCCTTCTTCTGCTCTCTTTGCATTTACTAGTTGAATGTGACCAATATCCTATTGGAACTGGCCCGCTGAGGCTTGATTCGGCACCAATTTGGTCAAATCTGTCGTGTTTTAGTCGAGCTTTAAATAATTTTTTATTTTTGAAAAAAAAAAAAAAAAAAAAAAAGACAAAAAGTAAGATAAAATCTTTTTTCTTTCTTTCCCTTCTCTCTCCTCTCCTTCATTTTCTCTTTTTGCATCTACTAGCTGATTGTGACTATTATCCTCTTGGATCTGGTCAGCAGAGGTTTGATCTGGCATCAATATGGCCAAATCTGCCGTGTTTTAAACTATATATACAAACTTTCAATAATTTTTAAAAGTTCTAGCGGTTTGAAATTTTCAATGTCATAACGCATTATTGATCTATATACTTAGCTCTATGAATCTATTAGTTTTGGTTGAGTTTTAGTTCTTATTTAGATGTGTTGAACTGGGAAATTCTAGAATTTCATCTGTAATTCGATCTAAGTGTTGCCTGGTTAAAAAAAAAAAAAATCCACTACAATTGAATTATTTAAAAATGCTCTAGCAACCTTGGAGGACCATTTCTTGGATTTTCAACATATTTAGAATTGCACTTAATGGGCCATTTCTGCTTGGCTTTTCCTGCACCTTTGCCATGATGACTGCATTTTTGTATGCAGATGACGAAGTATAAAGGACAAGAATTGCTTTAAGTTCTCTGAGGAAATATTGGTATTTCGTTTTTACAGAATAGTCAACCAATTTTTAAACAATTTATTGGATTGGCTATGACTATGAGATAGCTAGATTGCCATTCTCGAGAGTCTGGTCTTAGTTCTTTTCTAGTGGCTTCTCTAATCGTCTGTCTTCATATTGTACTAATTTCTGCTAATCAATAGATGGACTTTCTGGTTTGAGTTATTTCTATAATTTATGGTGTGATTTTACAGGAATGCCTGTTAATGATGCAGATCTTTCATATTTGAAATTTGCTTGTCTGCATAATTAAAGCATTTTATTCAGTTTTGGACATTTATGGTGGTATCTCTCTTCTTTTCTGAAGCTTCCATTCCATGTATTCATAATAGATACAATTCTCTTTGCATGTATGAAATTAATTACTTATGCGGCATCATTCTTTGCTTTGTTCATTTCTGGATTCCTACAATATCTAAGTAAGATGGACATCTTTTGGTGGCTCTTTAACAATTCTAAGTTGATATTCTATTCAATCTTGTTGCATATTGTGGACTCTAAACGTGTCTTGCCAGTCTGATGGGATCAAATAGTCCTTATGACATGGTAGCAGTTATTTATTCTATGCATGCGTGTTTGATAGCATCTAACAGTATTTACGCAATGGAAACCATATACTATATCCACAATGAAGTTTCTAATTTTTACATCTTAAATATCCATTTTAATAACATTCTTCATAATGTTTTTAATATTAAGTTTAAAAATTCCTAATCATTTTTGAGTTGTTGCTAGATCTCAGTGTTAGATGCTGAAGAGATGGCAGTTGCTTTGCTCTTTTTCATCTTCTCACGAATTGGTGACCTTGCGTTTATGGGGAGTCCCCATTATAGTTATGCCTTAACGTTCTTTAGAGATTCTAGAAACACGAGACCACCTTAAAATTCCTCTTGTCATCGTTATTCTCATATCAGCTTTGTAGCATAAATGATACGCTCTTTTAACACTTCAACTCCTGCATACTTGCAGCTGCCCTCCATATTGTGGCTTTTCTTTCCCACCTTGTTGATTTACTAGTGCATTTTGTGTATCTTTTTGTGTTTTGTTGATTATGAATGCTTGGTTGATTGTTTATTATGGATTTTAAGCTTGAGAAATTTTGGTAGTTTGGGGATATTATTTGATTCTGCATATGGGTAATGTTAGGTGATGGTTGTTATGTTTCTTTTGATAATTCTTAGGTGTAATGTAATTCTTTATGTAAAATTTAATAATGCTCTATTGTATTTATCACATTAATTGACAAGTTGTATGTAGTTATGTTTGATGAATCAGTTGTAATAAATTTGATTATGCTTATGTAATATATTCGATTTTTTTATGTGCACCGAACATGATGCAGGAGTTTAGAGAAAGAAAAAGTGTTTTTCTAGAAAAAAAAAAAAAAAAGTAATTTAAAAGTTTATCGTGCAAATAAAATACAAACATATTGACTCCCTATTTCTAATGGCAGGAAGAAGGGAAACATGGTATGATCGACAACAAATTACACTGCTATGTTGAAGAGAGTATAGCTTTTATGATCCTTTCCAGTAAATGCTGCAAGTTGGCATTCAACCCTCTAGTTCTATTGTTATTTTGAAGAACATGTCGGTTTTATGACCCTTGCATGCATTCATCATCAGAAATTCATTCATGACATCAAGACCATTGATGAGGCAAATAAATTTACACGCTTCATTATAATCAGTAAAGGTACAATTAGTTCCTCAGGGGAAAAAAAAAAGGATTAAATCATGCTTTATCATTTGTTCTTGGAGATGTTAAAGGAAACAAAGAAAGTAATTCTGGTTCCATTTTTCCTGTTCTTGACCGTGGCGATGGATGCAGATAAAAGCGTCTCTCTTTGATAGCTTTTTCTTCTTCTTCTGTGTTCAAATCGCTTTCTGGTGATTCCTCTATGTTTTCCTCTTCTAGTAGGGATAGCTTGGAGAAAACTGTTGATGGAGTGCCCACAGGACTTGTGAGAAGACAAGAGCTCCCTGATCTTGATGGTGATGTAGCAGGTTTAAAACTCAATGGGGGTTTTACTATCTCTAGTTTGGGCCTCATGTATTGCCTTCTTTCATGTAGTTTAGAAGTTGGCCTCTTTAAGCCTGGACCCTTCGTACCTGCTCCTTCTTCTGCTGCATCACTCTCTGATGGGCCTGTTAACCGCTGCACAACCTCTCGGAAAGTGTTTGAGTCTGTTTGCACAAAAGTGGTCAAGGGTGTACAACTGGTTGCAGCCTGGCTTGGTGGTTTTTCCATCGGCATTTATCTCTTTAGAAAAGCTTCTGTCCTGCACGAGGTTCCCACTTGCAAATTGGTATTGGGTCTCATTTGTAGAGAATGGCTATTAGAAATTAAACTTTTTTTTTTTTTTTGGGGGGGGGGGGGGGGGGGAATGTATATTTTAGTTGAAATGGGTGAACTTTTTTTTTTTTTCATTGTCTTTACGTACCTGCCTTTTATGTGGCTGGTGCGCCAGGTTTGGTCCTTTTGACCCAACTAGTTAGAAACCTACATTCATCATTAATGCACCAGGTGTTGAAACAAAAGTGCATGATTGCTTAAAAATATAAAACATAAATTTTTTATCACTTGAAGTGTGGGTATTTAAAAAAAAAAAAAAAAGAATTTAACTTTTTCAATGATGGAAAATAAAAATATTTGAGAAAGAAGTTAAAATATATATATATGATCTTTTTCATTATAATGTTTTTTTTATTTTTGTTTTTTTTCCGTGACTTATATTCTTTCTATTAGTATTTAAAAGAAATCTAATTTAAAATAATTTGTGCAAAATATAACCAAAAAATTACAAAATAGAATATCTTTTAATATAGTTTGGACATGTATTGTCTAGTCAAGGAAAACTTACCGAATTAATATAGTTGTCATAAATAAATTAATTAGATTCATAACTAATTAGAAACTCATTTAATTCAAATCAATTTGAACTCATTATAAACATAATCTTAAATATATAAATTAAAAATAGATTAATAACTTCAAACTGATTTGAATATGAAATGATTCGATAAATAACTTGATTACGATATCTAATTAATACTGTAGACTCGACAACAATTTAATTTTTATCTAAACAAATGCAGAACCTGAACAAATTATCTCTAACTATGTATTAAACAAGAGGAGGGTCAAAACAAGTTAATGTATTAATATTAGACCAACTTTCAAGGTTAATGCTTTAAAAATATAAAGACTTTGTGGCTAAATGTTAAATCCTATACTCAAAGAATCAGATTAGAATCTGTTTCCTGGAACAAAAGAAATATATAAATATGAGTCGTTAGTGGATGCAATTAATAACATATAAATAAAAGAAAATATTAATCTGATAAAAGAAAAGGAGAGAGAAACGTAGGTTTTGAGATGGAATTGAAAGCATACCTCAAATGGGAATCCTTAGGAAAGCAATGACAAGGAAAGCGATGGGAATTCACTGGTACATATATAGATGGAAGAAAATAATTAAAAGCAAGAGCAAGGAAGGAGATGAATAATAAAGGAAGAGAAATGGTTACCTGTTTAAAGTAACAACTAAAATCAAAGCTAAGGTTTCCTGGCCGATGGAGCCAGTTAGGACAACTGAAAATTAAGTAATATCAACAACCAAAAAACTAAATGGAAAGGAAGGTATTTCAATCCATATATATATTTATATATATATATATATATATATATATATATATATGTTTCCACAACTCTAATCATTCTGAATGTTAAACAGGCTTTTCAATTTTTAATTAACTGACGAATATACATTGTTTAATTAGTTTACAAGAAAACAAAAAGATTGTATAATCTGTATTCATTTATTATTTTATTATTCGTGAATATTTATTTTTTTCATTAATCTTAAAATAATAATTTTATAAAAATACAAATTATTCTAAAGTGTGATTTGTGAAGTATAAATAATTGAATTTCATAATGTTTTATCAATTACTTAATTAACACTATTAGAATTAACCAAAAAAAAAGAAAAAAAAAACCATTCGATGCAAGTAACAAGCTGGTGATAAAGATAAAAGGATTAGCTAAGTACAAGGGGATTTGTTAGTCTACTCTTAAAAGAAGAAACACTGTGGAGGGAATATTTCAAAGGTTTTTTTTTTTTTTTTAATGCTACTGCTTCTCGACGTAGAAGAAATAATTTTATTTGGCAAATAATTCGAGACAAAAGTGGGGTATAAACCTAGAGAAGGTAGAAATAGAAAGGTTTATCTTTAATTTCTACATCCCAACCATCTTAGATGGATGGTGTTTTATAACTTTTGGATAAGCGGATTGCTAATGGCATGTGGGATTTCATGCATGGCTGTTGAAGTAAAGCAGGCACTGTTCATCCTAGAAAAGCATCTGTGCCGGATGGTATGACCGCGATTTTTTATAAAAACACTGGCATGTGATAGGGGAGGGGACATCTAAAGCTGTTCCTCGTTTTCCTAGTCATGGGGGATGTTAAACAAACTAATATTGTGTTAAGCAGTACCAATTACAGTTATAAAGTTTTGGCCTATTAATCTTCGTAACGTTTTGTAGACAAATCATTTCAAAGATGTTAGTGAAAAGAATGAAAATTCATTTACCTGAGATTATCAGTCCCAACCAAAGTGCTTTCGTTCTAGGAAGAATGATTTTTATAATAATTTAATGGCATATGAGACAATTCATTCCATGTACAACAGGTGGAAACACTATAGGGGTTTAGGTCTTTAGTGACATTTCTTTTAATGTTAAACGGCATTTATAAACGCTACTAAAAGATTTGTGACGGTTGTAAAAAATGTCGTTAAGAGTGTCGGTTATACATGCATCGAAAAAAATAACGATATTTTTTATAAAACGCTGTTATTTTAACAACATTTGTATCTAAAAAATACTGTTAATTTAGTGGAATTTGTATCACAAATTAATTTCGAGGCATTTGCATAATAAAACGTCACTAAAAGTAGTGGCGTTCTTATAAAAACAACGCCGTTAATATGGTGGCGTTTATATCATAAGACACTGCTAAACTGCTAAATTAGCAGTGTCTTATGATATAAACGCCACCATATTAACGACGTTATTTTTATAAGAACGCCACTACTTTTAGTGACGTTTTATTATGCAAACGCTTGGAAATTAAAAAATTTATTTTTTTATTTCTTTTAATATTTATTATTTTCATTAACAAAAAATAGTAAAAAAAAATGAGCTTAAATTCAGAAACTGAAATTAATAAATACTTAATTCACGTTCAAATATACATGTAATTAACACAAAGTTTAATAATTAGTATAATAACATTCAAATTATTTTAGTACATTAACAAAAAAATTTAAAATATATAAATTTGATGACTGTATAGATTTGGAAGATTATCATTTGATGAAAAAAATTTTCTACCTTAGTCACTAGTGTGCTCAAGAACCTACTGAATAATATCATCCAAGTTTCAACACTTAATAATAAGCTATTTTTATATTAAAAATATAAATATTTATTAAATATAATACTTGAGTTGGTGGATCATTAAGATTAGTTCCTGAAAATTATTGTTGCACAAAATTCATAAAATAATCGAATCGATCATGTAACTGCTAAAATTTTGCATGCTCTTGGTCCATTCTAGTACGTTCTTCTTCAATTTTGACACGCTTTTGTTCTCTTTATACTTCTATTTGTTGGAAATGTTGTTGCATAATTTGTAACTCTTCTCTCAATATAGAAATGTCTCGCAAAGACTAACTTGTTGAGAATGTAAATTGTTGAGCGCTACGTCCATAGTAGGAAGATGGTATTTGACCCAATCCAAGGCCTCGAACCAGTCTACGCCTTTCTTTTCCAGCAACTTCTATAAAAATTCAAATTTTCAATTCTTGCATATTGACAAAACCAGCAAATGCTAGTTCAATCTCAATAGCCTTTTTTTTTTTTTTTGCTTTCTCTTATAAATTAATCAGATAAAATTATCGAGTTTAATGATTAATTCATAATATGTTAAAGATAGTAAATATTTATTTTTTGTTAAAATAAATATTATAAATTATCACAATTTCATGTGTTTTGGCATTCAGTTAAGTTTCGTCTTTTTGTGTGTGTGTTAAGCAAAAAAGTTTCACATGTCCGATTTTATCACCCATCTCAATCTCTTACATAAAACATATGTTATTATTAAATATATATTAACTATAATTTATTTATGCATATCAAGCCTGTTAATCAAATTCATATTTTCGAATAAGTTTAATATCATGTATTTAATCTATCTGAATAGTTAAATAGAAATATAATTGTAAAATTATATTTTGGTCCTTTAACAACACAAAAGTCTTAAACAAACGTAAACAATAAAACCATTTTGGCCTTTCACACATATCGATCATGAAAACCAAATTCAATTATTTGGACAAGTTTAATATCATGGATTGAAGCCATCCAAAAGTTTAATTTGTACTTTTACCTTTAAAAGGCAAAAATAGTCCCAAATACACGTAAACAACAACTTTTTCACACATATCAACCGTAGAAACCAAGTTCAATCATTCGGACAAGTTTAATATCATGTATTGAAGCTATCCAAACTGTTAAAATAGAAGAATAAGAACAATTTTGTATTTTACCTATTAACGGCACAAAAAGTCCTAAATAGACATAAACAATAACTTTTTCATACATATCAACCGTGAAAACTAAGTTCAATACTTTGGATAAGTTTAATATAATGTATTGAAACTATCAAAACTATTAAAACAGAATAATAACTGTTAATTTGCATTTTTACCTTTTAACGATACAAAAAGTTCATTCATTCGAGTAAGTTTAAAATGATAAACTTACTATTTCTTTTTGTTTTCTTGCAAAACTTTTTGATCCACTTGTGTGGCTATATTTCTGTTGCTTTTTGCTACCAATCCCAATCTGTTCTCTTTCTTGTCATAAAAAATAATTGCGTATATGGTAGAAATACAAATATTAACAACTTAAAGCATAAAACACTTTTATTATTTAAAACCAATATTAAAAGTTATAAATTAGTACCTTTCATTTTCTTGAAAAGCAAAATTTAACTAATTATTTATATTGTCACCTAATCACATTACAACGTAGATTTTTCATTGTGGCCTCTACAGTAGTATTTCGATTGAAATACTTATTCTTCAAATTATGCTTATAGTCTTTTCATTTCTTTCCTAATGACTTAAGCACAAATGAAATTAGTATTTCAAGTATAAATCTTAACTGTAATAATACAATAAGAAAATTTTGAATCAATAAACCAAATGTAAAATAATTATATTTTTATATGTAACTAATTATACTAATACCTCAATAAA